ACTTACGAGCAATGCCTCATATTCAGCTTCATTATTGGAAGCATTGAACCCAAATCTTACCGCGACTCTGATTGGGTCTCCCTCCGGACTCTCGAGCAAAAGGCCCACTCTTGCTCCCTTCTCATTCGAGGAGCCATCTATATACAGAGTCCATAGCCATAAGTCGTCACTCTTTGGTTTTAGTTGCTCGATCTCTCCCGAGGTATCTACCTCTGGCTGGCTTGACTCAGCGTCTGGCTGATAAGAGAACTCAGATATAAAATCCACCACAACATGGCCTTTGGTCGACATCCTCGGGATGTACTTGATGTCATGCTGACTCATCTCTATTGTCCATTGGATCAGTCTACCTGATGCCTCGGGCTTTTACATTATTTTCTTCAAAGGGAAGTTCGTCAGCACATGGATGGAGTGTGCCTGAAAGTAGGGTCGCAGCTTCCTAGCGGCAACAAAAAGGGTGTAGGCGAGCTTTTCCATCTTTGGGTACCTTGTCTCCACATTGAGCAGTCTCTTGCTCACATAACACACTGGCCATTATATTCCTCCCTCTTCGCGTACAAACATCGCGCTAACAGCGGATTTGGATATCAACAAATACAGTAGTAATAGCTCACCTTGGATGGGCTTTGACAACAAAGGGGTTGTTCGAGGTGTTTCTTTAGCTCTTAGAAGGCTCTTTCACGCTCCTCTATCCACTTGAAACATTTCTTCCCCTTCAAGGTCTCAAAAAATGGTAAACACTTGTCTGTGGCTTGGGAAACGAACCTGCTGAGCGCGGCTACACGTCCAATCAAACTCTATACCTGTTTAATGCCAGTCAGGCTTTTCATGTCGAGCAAGGCCTGAATCTTCTCTAGGTTAGCTTCCATACCCCGTTGGTTTACGAGGAAGCCTAGGAATTTCTCGGAGCTCACTTCGAAAGCACATTTCAGTGGATTGAGCTTCATTTGATACTTTCTGAGGATGTCGAACATTTCCCCTAGGTGCTTAATATGACTTTCGGTGAACTTTGATTTGACGAGCATATCGTCGATATATACTTCCATGGAATGGCCGATTTGATTGGCGAACATCTTGTTCACCAAGCGCTGGTAGGTCGCGATAGCATTCTTGAGGCCAAACAATATAATCTTGTAACAATAAATTTCACAATCAGTAATAAAAGAAGTATGCTCTTCGTCAGGCTGGTACATCAAGATCAGGTTATATCCCGAGAACACGTCCATAAAGCTAAATAGTGCGTTTCCCATCATGGCATCTACAAGCTGGTCGATCCGTGATAGCAAAAAGCTATCTTTCAAACAGGCTTTATTTAGATCCCTGAAATTGACACAAATCCGCCACTTGCCATTTGAGAGCATCCATGGCCCTTCTTTTCTGTCTTATGGGCCAAGCCTCTAGGTCGAGTTTAACTTGTGGCATATCACCTCAGGGCTGATCCCAACCATATCAGTGTGCACTCACGCGAATACATCAAGGTTCTTTTTCAGGAACTCGACCTGATTATCGGTCATCATTCCACTCAAGCTGCTGCTAATCTTCAGTATGCGAGATGGATCCTCCTCGCTAACACTCACTCTTATCAGGTCCTCGATTGGTCCTGCAGCGGACTCCTCTTTATGGCTACGAGGATCTATGGTGTCTTCTAGCGGTCCGGGGTTTGGCTTGGAATCTGCGATGATCATGGTCTTTGGGTGTGGCCATTTCTATATGGCGTTTATAGCCCGATTATAACATTCCCGTGATTCTTTGGTGCCTCCTGATTGTCGCGACTCCGGAGAGTAAAAAATCTCATTGCTTAGTAGCGCACCGACATGATCGCACTTAAATCATTCAGGATTGGCCTTCCAATGATGATATTATACGTGGTCGGGCAGTCCACCACCAAGAATTCAGCCATCCTAGTTCTGACCTTTGATTCAGCCCCCAGAGGCCAGAGTTATGGGAAGGTCGATAGTACCTTTGGGAACCAGGCTATCCCTGGTGAACCTATAGAGCAGCGAATGGCACACTCTCAGGTACCTTTTTATGAATCCCATTCCTCAGAAGGCTCCTAAGAAAATAATGTTTGTCGCGCTCCCGTTGTTGACCATAACCCTTAATACTCTTGTGTTGTCAATCCTGGCTGTGATTACAATCGTGTCATAATTATGGCGAGGGGATGTTTTGCACTCGTCGACTGTGAACACCACTACCTCGCTTTCCTATTTGGGCAGCTTCTGTTCGCAACTCATTATTCAGGGGACCGAGTTCGTTATGGCCTCCCGAGCGTATTGCTCGCGGGCTCGCCTCGAGCTTCCCACTATATTCGATCATCCGTAGATCATATTCATGAGGACCTCATTGGGATTTGGCAGAGCCTGTTGAGCCGGGGTCTGTATCTGGCTTGGGACCTGGTTACTTTGCTCTCCAGGATTCTCTTGAGCTGGTTCTGCCTTAACAAATTCTTTCAAATGACCTATCCTTATCAGGTCCTCGATGGCGTCCTTTAGAGCCCGATAGTCATTCGTATTGTGCTCGACATCATTGTGATACCAGCAATATTTTTGTTGATCTCTTCTTCTTAGAGCCCCCCTCATTCTTTTAGAAGCAGGTAGCCTCTTTGCCTCTCGGGATACCTCATAGATGTGGGCGATGTCTTGAGTAAGGGGGCGATACTCTGCATACCGCAGGAAAGGCTGCTTGTCTCTGCGGTTATCTACTCTTTGTTTCTTTGGGAATCTGTTGCGATCCTTGTCGCTGCGGTCTTGGCCCCTACGCTTATCCGAGGGGCGATCTTGTCTCTTGTCCAAGGCCCTTCGCATCAAGCTCCTGGCTAGTGCCACTAATGAGCTCTCTACTCGTTGGTATTTTGCGGCCATCTGGTAGCATTTGGCCAGTCTCACATGGTCTTCACTCTAGAGCTCTTTCCACAGCTCCATGTTAGGTCTGTCCCTTCGATCAGGAGAGTCCAAATGGATTCTTTGGGGGCATCAGCGACCTTTGTCTGCTCGTTCTAGAACCTCGTTAAATACAAGGTTAGTGATTCGTTTTGCTCTTGGCGAATGTTGCTCAAGTAGTTGAGCGGTATTGCGAACTGTCTCCTTGCATGAAACTGTTTTAGATATAGCACAAAGAATTATTGTCAGGAGTTGATGGAGTTCGTCTTGAGCCTTTTGTACCACCTCTTGGCATCTCTGACTAATGTGACTGTGAAGCACCTGCATTTCGCTAAGTCACTAACCTGGTGGAGCTCCATCAGGTCATTAAAGTTGTCGAGGTGATCTCTGGGGTCCCCCCTCCCGTCGAAGTTGCTTTTTGGTGCCCTGAATCCTTGTGGGAGCGGGGTTTGGCAAACTTCCTCTGTAAAGGGGGAACTTATTACTTCTTCCACCAGGTTGTTCTAGCGAGCTTTTAGATCGCCGAGCATCCTTTGCATGCAATCTAAGTCTTTATTTTGGTTCCCCTGGTTGGCTCTGTTAAGTTGTACCTCAAGCAAGTGGGTTCACAAGTCTGTCGCTTGCGAAGCTCCTCTGATGCGCTCGTTGATACGCGAGGTCGAGTCATGATGGGTTGGGTTGGTAATGGCTATCATGCTCGTTGGTGCGTTGCTCGCAACATCGGTCATTGGCAAATTGACGCACGTGGCTCGCTTCGCGAGCCTACAAAGACCGATCTTATCTTCGGCATGGGTTAAAACCGGCACACTGACGCTGGAGATACCGCCGAGCTTCTCAATGGTCTCCATTGCCTTCGCTTTCCCTCAACAGCTGCTTCCCTGGCCGCCTCCTGGGGTTTGTTTGCCCACGGGACCCTCACTCGTGTGTGAGGAGCTACCTGCGATGTTGGAGGTGTTGATCGCCCCCTAGCAGCGATGAAACAGACTGCAGAATTCATGCTTGTTGGGGTAACGTTGATGAAGCGCAGCTGGTCGGGGTTCTGGGAGACTGGTTGTTGGTTCCTCAGCTCAGCCACATTCTATTGCATCACATATGCAACCATTGTTCTGATCATCTCCATCAGCTGGCTATTCTTGGGATTTGATGTCCTTGCCCCTTGATTGTTTGTGGCGTGCTGAGCTGGCGGCATAGGTGGTCAGCGTCCAGCATTCTCCTGTTGCACTTCCTGGTGGGCGGTTTCCACATTCTCATGATTTCTGGTGGTAGTTCTTGATCTAGTGAACACCATTTTGGTCCTAGGACAGGTAAATCGCAGTGAACGTTTGCTAGGATCTTTGAAATAGTGACAGAGGCCTTCCTTCTAGCGCCAAAATGTTGATACAGAAATCTGCACCAACCAGCGAGATCCGATCGACCTTGTCAGGATCAGAACTGATGTGTGTGTGATTACGGGTAATCAGCGATGAGTGAATGATAACGCCAGAAAGTAAATGACAAAGAGAACTTTTAAAGTGGTTCGGCGAAGTTAGCAACCTACGTCCACTGTGTTATTTTTTTTATATGTCGTCAGAGCTTACAATGTAATTTTAATCCAGAATTCGTATCCCCCTCCTCATCATTTTAATGGGTTTATATACAAGATTTACACCAAGGAAAAAGCGAAATTAAGGGGATTACAAATGATTTGAATCATAATTCCAATATCCTTGCGATTGGGCGCTATGATCGCACAACGACAATTGTTGATCCAGTCGTTCCCGCGATATTCGAGATCTGAAGTAATCTGGGGGTTGACTGATTAATTCCTCTTATTGTCCTCGACTAGCTTGTGCTGGTTCGAGCTACTGCTCAATGAGTTTATGCTGGTTCGATCAATTATAGTTGCCAAGATCACTCTGGGTCGAGCTATATCCTCGCATTAGCCCGAGCTTGGCGGAAAAACCACACACAATATATACCAAATGGGTTTTTATTTTTCATTTTTTTCAATATTGTTAAAACACAAAAACAACCCTTATTATTTCAGAAATTGTAGGGGAATTGTGTTATTCAATCATACCTGAGGGGGGAAAATGTTATTAACTCAATAAATAAATAAAATAAAACTTACATATTTGCTACACCAGGCAACAGCATGCTCTATCTCCAAGAAACGGCCACAAACAGAAACTTTCAAGCTCTGATGTAATCATTTCATAATCATTTTTGTTTTTTAAAAAACATTAAAAAGAAAAACAAATTCTTCAATTTTTCAGAATCTCAAGGCTCAAACTACAAAGAGAGAGGAGATTCAGATATAGACTCGGGATCCGGATCGTGAAGGAAGAATGGAGAGCCAAGGGAATTCGGACGCAAAGACGCCATTGCTGAAGAAGCAGCAGATTGGGGAGAGAAAGCGGAGCGAGTTACTGAGTCCACGAAACTCGGTCAGCACGCTGAGAAACGAGTTCGTTTCGAGGTTACCGGCGAAGGTGCTGTCTGGAGTTGATGCGGAGGCTCCTTTTGACATCGACATGTCCAAAACCAAAGGCTTAAGTGGAGGTGGGTTGTGTTTGGTTGATAAGATAATGAAGGAAAAGAGAAAGATAATGGTGGTAACATATTTTTTTTTTTTTCCTTTTTTTTTTTGGTTGGTGATGTCGGTTTAGTTTGTTATTTTAGAAAGTAATTATACATGCATGTATACATTATGTACGCATGTATGTTAATGTATGTATGTATGAATATATGTAGATGTTTTTATGATGTCAGTCGTGTGTGTTTATATATAGCTAAGCAATGAAAATTCTTGGCTTATATTAGATTTATTTAGTCTCAGTAACATTCAATTTTTGATATCTTGATTTGGATAAATGGTGACTTCATTAGATGGAATCTTTGAAAAATCTCTAATTCTGTGCTTGGTTTGAAAGTCCTTTAATTGTTTGATTTGATTAGTAACTGTAGATTGGATTATTCTTTTAAATATATCTAAAACAAGCCAACTTCTTCAATGGATATGGGTTCTTTTTCTTCTTCTTCTTTAAGCTTAAAAGATAAATGGGAAAAATTGAACTAATTTTCTTTTCCTTTTCAACGTTTCATATATGAAAAGAAAAAAGGTTGAATGTCGTTATGTGGATTTGAATCTTGAATAGTATACCGTGCTTTTTTGCTTCCAATCCAATAGTTAGAAACAGTTTAATAATATTATCGAATCAGTAACATAACGGGAGCTAAACTATAATGCTAAAATTGTTAGAATTCGTATTGGGAAACAATCTTCATGAATATTTGTGAAGTGGGTGGTGTTTAGAGATTTCTGAATACTATTTCTTGCAACTAACAAGTGTGTTCTTAACAGGAGAAAAGGAATACTATGAAAGACAATTTGAGACCTTGAAATCCTTCGAGGAAGTCGATTCTTTAGTGGATTCCGATTTCTTAATCGAGGAAAACAATGAGGAACGCCAACATGAAAGAGCAATGAAGATCTCTAATTACGCAAATGTTGTTCTGCTGGCATGTAAGGTAACTAATCTCTACCACTTTCAATGAAATTTCAGCAATCACTCTTCTGGAGACATGTTAAATAGATATTTATTATGTTGAATCATAACTTGTTCCTCTTTGGTTAGATTTTTATTGCTCTGGAAATAGAAATAGAAAAGTAGTTATGGGAAATTATATAGAAGATATTTCTGCCAGTTACATTTTGGAGGAAGAGACTCCGATTTTCCAACTGTTGAATGAAACCTTCTTTTCTGATAATTTTTTAAGGTACATGAAATTTTAAGTGTCCTTTCTCCTTAATGGTTGTTGTCAAAGAAATAATATTCAAGAAGAAAAGGAAAGGACAGGAAATGTTAAAACCCCTAAATGTTAAATTTTAATGTTATGTTGTTTGTATAGTTCAGTGTACAGATTTGATGTGTTGAAATAACAATATGCATGAAATGCAGATCTATGCTACAATAAAGAGTGGATCCATTGCCATTGCTGCATCAACGCTAGATTCTTTGCTTGATCTCATGGCTGGTGGCATACTTTGGTTCACTCATGTGGCAATGAAAAACACAAATATTTACAAGTACCCTATTGGAAAATTGAGGATGCAGCCGGTGGGCATAATCATCTTTGCTGCCGTAATGGCTACACTTGGTATGTCAACTTATCTTGAGCAAAATCATGAACTTCTTAAAGACTCTGGCTTAAATTTCCTTAAATGAAAATGCAATTGCAGGTTTCCAGATTTTGGTCGAGGCTGTAGAAAAGCTCATTAAAGACAAAGCGTCTAAAAAGATGAGCACGGTGCAATTGGAATGGTTGTACTCAATTATGATTGGTGCTACTCTGGTTAAACTAGCCCTGTGGCTGTACTGCAAAAGCTCAGGAAACAAGATTGTCCGTGCCTATGCAAAGGTTTTTTTGGCTCTACCTTTTCAATAATTAGTAGCATTTTGGAATCTGCCTTCTCTTTTTATCAATAGTTTTAACTTCTTTTATTTTATGGCCAGGATCACTATTTTGATGTGATAACAAATGTAGTAGGATTGGTTGCAGCTGTTCTTGGTGATAGATTCTACTGGTGGATTGACCCTGTTGGTGCCATTCTCCTTGCTGTTTACACAATCTCAAATTGGTCCGAAACTGTCATGGAAAATGCAGGTACCTTCTTCAATCATCTTCCTTCTCTTTGATCTAGTAAATTGTCAATCCATGTAACTTGAAAAGGAGATAAAAAGAATGTACTGATTTCAAAAGATCTATACACCTTATAGTACCTACTATAAAACTAACAAAAAGCCTTGCCTCTTATAATTTCTATTAAATCCCTTGCTCACTGTTATGTATAACTAATTACTGCATAGATTGATTGCGTATCTGTTAAAGGATATCTAGAGTCAAAGAAGCATAGATTGAGTAGGAATAAGTCAGAGAATTGATGATCAAAAAGTGCCCGTTTTAATTTTTAATGTAAAATTCTGCATAAAACTGTTGGATTGGAAAGAGTGTTAATCATAAAGTTAGATTTAAGAGTGTATGAAATGAATGAAGGTTGGAGTATCATGTTCATGTAGAAGGGAACGGGTGTAACTTCAACAATGCTTTGGAAAACTGGTGTTGAGCAGAAGAAAAATATAATGATATCCCATTCAATGCATGTGCCAGAAATTAGAGTGTTAAAGTGGATGCAGGGGAGTTAAGGGAAGGTCAATTGAGATGGTTTGGTCATGGGTGCTATGGTACAAAATAGTGTTTCAAAACACTCGGAAGATAAAACCGGAAAATGAAAGATTGTGTCGATAAAATATCGAAAAACTACCGACTTGTCAAAGCATGAAAGTATGGCCTGGATTATGAATGTTGGGGGAAAGGATTTATGCAGCTGATGCCGATTGAGGCTTTATTATGTTGAGTTGAGTTTTTCAGTTTCTTCTGATTCATTTTCCAAGCATCCATTTAAGAGTCTTCCACGTTCTACCACTGACTAGTAGTGTTTTTTATTGTTTTCTGAAGTATAATGAGCTCATGAGCTCTCCTACGTACTTCAAGAAATTGCTTAGCTTTCTGTTGTTACATTTAAAGTATGCTTCCTTGTTTGTAATTGTATTATCTACAACCATTCTAAATGAATCATATGGATGCAGTTTCACTTGTGGGAGAATCAGCCTCTCCTGAAATCTTGCAGAAATTGACTTATCTAGTCATAAGGCACCCTAAAGTCAAGCGTATCGACACAGTTCGTGCTTACACTTTTGGCGTACTTTATTTTGTTGAGGTTGGTAATATTATATCTGGTTTCTGGTTAATAGTTGTTCATATCTCGTGTTCTTTCAGTTTTATTGATTATGTTATGTGCAAGTGTTTAATGAATCTCTGTTCTTCTCCATTCTCTTGCAAAAGGTTGACATTGAGCTCCCTGAAGAATTACCTTTAAAAGAAGCACACACTATCGGAGAGACCTTGCAGAACAAGATTGAGAAACTCCCTGAAGTTGAAAGAGCATTTGTTCATCTTGACTATGAATGTGAACACAAGCCAGAACACACCGTTCAAAACAGGCTTCCCAACAACACTTAGCCTTGATTTTTAGTATCTCACTCATGCCATCAGTTGACTTCTACAAGCTTTTCTTTTCTGTCAATCATATTGTTTTCGTAGTAAAATGAATCAAATTTTTGTCGTCGGGAGGATGAGATAGCAATACTGTTATAGCACTTATATTCCTGGTGGATGAAAAAGGTTTACCGAGAGTACACGATGAGCGGAGGCAAATAGTTGTACATCGAGGTTTTTGGCATATATGTAATGTTACAGGGATTGGGAACCTTCATTCCTTACTTCTGAAGGAAGTGAGATGGAAAGTTTTCTTGCTTGTTGAAGGTTCTCTTTTAGTACTTGAGATCCTAAAAATTCTGGATAAAGAGATGGTTTGCATGATGAATGATTCAACATGTTACATTTTTGACAAGAGAACTTCAGAATGCAAAAAGTTTATTGCATACTGTTTTCTCAAAGTTGAAACTTGACATCTCATTGCATTTTACTTTGCTCAAACTTGGGCTCCATAAAAATATCGTAAATCGGCATCAAGAACAAATACCATTCAGAGAGAAAACGAGTTTAGATCCAAAAATGACTGCTGTTATGAGGAGTAATATAGCATACTACATTTTTGCATTAGCAAGTTGGAACCATATTTGCTCGAAAGAAATAAAAAAATGACAAAAAGAAAAAGAAGCCTGTAAAGATTTAAAACTTAGGCCACTTTCGGGGCTATTATACAGACCAAAAAAGCCTCATGTATGCATTGTACTGGGGGAGACAATGACATTATCTACAATTCCTGGGTTCATTCATCTTCTGGAAGCATAATCAGTCGAAAATCCAGTACCTGCAGAAGTCATATTGTCAAATAACATTAACTCATAACACATTGCACAGCCTAAATTCATGAAAGATGAAAGGACATACTTAAGAATTTGGCAGTAATCGACCATTATACATCTTGTCGAGTAATTTCCGCGCGTCAGGCCTCCTAAGAAGACCTTTGTTATTTGGTAAACCTGTTCCTAAACAAACCGGACAAACAAGTTTCCCACGACCTGCCCACAAAAAAGATACCAATGAGGGGTCAAAGAACATAAATGTCTGTATATTTGGAAAAGGAAATACGGGAAAACTCGCAGAGCCAATAACTAAAACAAGAAATAGACTCAAGACTAATGTCAATAATGTAAAAACATTTGGGAATCATATGGCATCATGATTTTTTCTAATACGAAAAATTTCTTCAAGCTTTGATAGCGCAAATTCAAGGCTGTGACCAGGGTGATTTCTGCAGTCCCCAGTCCCCACTTAATAATATGCCCTTCAAACTTCAATATTTGAATTTTAGTGACTAATATAGCTGATAGGTGAGACTACTTGTGGAGAAGTGCATACCATAGCAATTTGGACATTCTGTAAACTCATAAACATCTTTTGCGCGTTTTCTGTTGAGAGCTTTCCATTTTCCGGTACCACCACACATATCACCTAAACAAAGAGCAAATTAAAATCTTATAAAGACCAGATAGCAAAATCAGAAGCGATAAATATCCGTTCAATAGCAGCTATTTCCTAGAAGAGTTTCATACCTCACTTCCTCAACAACCAAAAGACCATAGAATTAGAACAGATTAATGAACCTATAATCAGTCCTATACCAATGAGGATTACAGACAACTAAGTTCCACTTAATCAACTCAAAGAAAACGAGAGTTAACCAATACGAAATTTATGCTTAGGTTTCCACAGTCTCAATTTCTAAACAAGAACTGCATCAGGCTGGCAACTTCAAAAGTAAGAGTGAAAACCTTTCCAAGACAAACAGGGGAATTTTTTTTTCTGAAATTTCTACATTGACAATACCTAAATCACAAAGGGAGATACAAAAGGAAGATGAAAGGAATACTCACAAAGAACAGCTCCACTACCCCCACAATTTCTGCATACAGGTCTTTCTTTTCCATCCGATGCAACTGCCTTCAATGCAGAAACTGATGTGCCAGCGACATTAATCAAAGCTATACTTGAACATAAACACGCGAGACACAGACGACGAGATGTTGATGTTTGAGCTTCCTATAGTGACACAAATGCAACCGTTAATGATCAAATCAAATGTATATATGCCTTAGAACATCAGAACAAATAACAAAATAGCCAGAATGAATAAAATTAAACCTTAGAATTAGTCTTCTTCTCCAAGCTGCCAGAAATTTCTGGATTACAACTCTCATTTTGAAAGCTGCACTTCACATGAACCCCAACTGACTTGGACTTAGCTGCCATTTATTACAAAAATGAACATCATGGCATGGTAAGGAAAAAAAAAAAAAAAAAGAAAACCTATTTATATCTTCAAAGTGCACTACATTTTCTTTCTTACACTTGAAATTAAATATAAAAATGAACCACTGAACTCTTTCGGTGTCACTCTCCTACAATCATTTCCAAACTTCTTACATATACATATAGTTTCCACAAACTTCAAGAGATAAGAGACCGAAATGAAATGGAAACGAGGAAAAAGAAACCATTTTCAGAGCAAACAACACAGACCCTTTTCTTAAAAGTTTAAAGTTGAGAGTCCATCCAAGTAATAAAATGAATTAAAATGAGAACCGAAGTAAACCCAGTTCATGTTATGAGTTATATTGTTACAGAAGTTGGGAAGAAGCTGAAAAGGGGGAACTTACAGGGATGTGAAGGGATTTTAGAGGTAAAAGAGAAGCGTTGTGGGAGAGTTAAGAGATGAGAAGAAGAAGCCATATCTTCTTCTCTCTTGAGCTTTTGGTTTATTTCTCAGAAACGATATATTATAACAGGAAGAATCTAATCTTATTTATTACATGGGTCTAAGATTGACACGTCATCATTTTCACGGTACTTTAAATAAATAAACAAATAAATAATTAAATATATGGTTATTTTATTTAGAAATTTTTTCAATTTTGCATCAAATTAAAATTAGATTGTATTTATGGGTTTAAAATAATTGTTTCAGCTTGTTTGACAAATTATTTTATAAAAATTAATCCAACTTCCATCATTAAAATTATATTGAGTTATTCAGTTTTATTGGCTTTAGCTTGAAAATAAAAATTGAATTATATTTTCAGTTTTACCAACCAATCAAATATTTAATTACAGTAATAGAGTTTAATTGGCTTTAGCAGTCAATCATGTTCATGTAATTTTTTATTTTATTTTTTTACTTTTAAACCCTATAATTCTAGAAATAAATAATATTATCCTTCAATGTCAAGCAGAAAATATATACACCCATTTTAAGATAATAGGTATATCATATTATTATTTGGATGAAAAGAATTTTCGATGCGAAAATTGATAATAATTATGATGTCTTCAACAAAATTTTATTCTCATTTTGGACATTATCTAAAACAAGCTATTAAAAGTTATAACCCAAGGTAAAAGTAAAACCTGACAAAATGACCGAATTTCAAGTTGACCGATTCAATCAGTTTAACGATTAAACTGTCAATAGGCAAAAAAGTTTGAAATCCAACAAAAACTTATAAAAATTCACAAAAACTCTTCACTCAAAGACTCTTTACAGAAACCATTTCACCCCACCCTTGTTTGCCTCACCAATCACCAACAACCTGTTGTTATCGCCGATTTAATTTTGCGATTTTCGATTGTTTCACCTATCGGAAATCACCTCCATCACCACCTTTTCACTCATCAACCCTTCTTCAAAACCCCTGCATCCCAACCTTCAATTATTTGTTAATCATCATCCTAATTTATAAGGTTTTCAATGAATAATAAAATTGGTAACCCAACCCGATGAAGGCCTCTAGTCCCAATTGAACCGGTTCAACCAACCAGGCCGGGTTTTAAAACACTGATCTAAAATACAAGAAATCTATTATCTGAGGCAACTCAAGAGTCAAGATTAAGGGAAGAGAAACCAGAATGTGAAAGCTTCAAGATAAAGGAAAAGGAGCAAAAAGCAATGCTTGTTGAATAAAAATATATATAATATATAATAACATTACATGTGAATAAAAATTCTCAACTAAATCACCTACTACCATTTTTTACATCTTCAGCAAAATTAGAGGAGAATATGGGATCAACAAGATCTACCACTTTTTCTTTTTTTATATAAGCATCAAAATCCCCTCCATGCTCCTTCAAATAGGTGATTTCAAGATACCGTTCGCCCATAGCATAGACAGGCAAGATACAGATTTTTCGCCCATTTTTCCTGCACATCAAAACACAACACAATGCGTAAACAAACTGTGAATCCAAAATTATGAAAATATCCAAGAATTATAATGCCATTCAACAAATTAATCGGCGAAAAACTGTCACAGATACAATAAAAACCAATCCAAATTTCAGAAGGCCAATTCTGATTTTTTTTAAAGAAAATCCAAACTATGATTCTTGGGGTGAAGAATCCCACTAATTTAAACCATATTTCTCGCATCAGAAAACTCAAAAGTTTTGACTGTTAGTGGATTCCTCACATCAGGATCCGGACTTCCAAAATATCAGGATGTTCGGATGAGAGAATAATTAAACAAGCTCGAACCAATCACATAAACAGTTACACTAATAAATTTGCAGGTACAGCAATTGTCAGATGCCATAAAACAAGAATTTCTCATTCTGCAGCTGATATGGACCCTGATTCTTTCTATTGTAAGTAATAAATTTAACACCATTAAGAGTGATTTGAAGAACAAACCATTAAGTATCAACATGGCATATTGTGAAGTATTGTTTACCTTAACATGTGTACTTGGGAATTGAGAAGTACGTAAAGTTTCCTGAGTTTCATCACCAGGTTTGCGCCTGGGAACACTCAAGATAAGAGCCGCTTGATCACAAGTTGCAGCTGTTGACGTAATTCGATAACCACTATCCCATCGTCTGTGGATACCCTCACTTGGATAGAGAAAATCCAGTTCCACAACCTAAGGAAACCCAGCACAAATTAGAGAGCTATATAGAGCTATTCCAGAGTCAAAAATGAGAACAAGACAACTGATATTCAACCTGTTCACTGAAGCCAGCATTGCGAGACATAACAACACCCCATCGGCTTCCAGCAGTTGCCATTGAGGTTACATGAAACCCTTCTCGCCACTTCTTATTTATCCACTTGAAGGGAAAGGAGTCACTCACTTTGTAAGACTGTTGAGTATACTGGGTGCCTGCACAAATTAGGTCACAACTACGTAAGAAATAGGCTGAAATAGAATACTAAGTAACCATGCCGCCAAAATAAACTTTTACTAAAATTGACATGTTTGACTACTGAATGACAGAAAAATAAATCAAACTTAAAGATGCATCAAGAGACAGATTTTTTCGTTAAAATGTGTCCAACCCTTCCTATTTCAAAAATAACCTGCAAATACCAAGNAATGATTGGAAACATGGATGTGATAATACTAATCTAGTAATCTACATATATAAATTTCATTTTCAATACCTAGATATCACATTCCACTACAAATCCCACCATTCAGAACTATCTTTTCACATAAATACTTAAAAAATAATAACTATATCTGATAAATTAAAGATTGTATAATAATATTTTATATAAATAAGAATAATAGAACATTGATCTTCACAATAACTAAGTAGGTCCGAGTGGGGGCTTTTGACCCCACTCAAAATTTCTTAATTAAATTTATTTTAATTGTTTACGAAGATAAGTCTTTTATTAATTAAATTTAAATTGAAACATGGTTAATGAGCTCATATTTCTCCAAAAAGAGTTAAAATGTTAGGTAGAATGGACAAAAAGAGATGGCCCATAATGGTTCAGAATGGATGACCATGCATGGTTCACCCTCCTTAACCAATTTGGGTGAACCAAATCAAAGCCTTCTTCAACAAGTACTTGATTACAAAACATAAGACTGTTGTCTTATTCAGTGCTTTCTACGTATATTAAAATCATATAATAAAATTTTATTGAAGATCAAGACTTTGGGTGGCTTGGAGATAATATTACTAATTGAATGCAACTCTGTTCATTTGATTTTATAACCTAAGACACGTCTCAGATTTTATAGATTTTGGTCAACCAATTAAAAGGTCTTATAATGTATTATTATAATACAGTAAAAAATAACTAGACAGGAATGACCGTCAAATGGGTCATCTTGCTTACTTTATCATAAAAATTAATTCAGATGCCCACTCAATTCATTGGAGCGTAAAGCACACTCATATTCCATAAAAATAGAGAAAAATTACCCTGCTACTATGCTCTCCATAAAAAAAATTAATTAAAATATTATTTCAAATTTGGAATAAATTAAATTGATAAATTAATTAAAATATCATTTGATTGAATAGTTGATCCAACTCCTCCTTGTTTGAAGAAACCATCCACTTTAATTAATATTTTTTCATAAAAAGCAAACATGAGATAACAAATCTCTTTCACTAAGTTCTCGAAAACTATCCCACTACGGTACTAATAAAAGGACGGTTATTGCTATTGGCCAGTGAGATGGATTTGGAATTTATTAACATTTTCCGAAATGAGTATTGTTAATAATCCGGCGAATACCGAAATTATTAAAAGAACACCCAACAACTTGTTAGGGACTGTATGAAGTATTTGAAATACAGAAAAAAAAAATCATTTAGCAATATACATCTTACGTATTTTTAATATATTTATACAAACATTTTACATTACAATTTGAAGGTATTTTTGTCATTTAGTTTTAATTATCGGATACTACAAACGTAAGTTAGCTTTATCATTCAGTTTTCAATATTTGTAGGATAGTATTTGGATTCTAATAGAATAAAACCGTAGAAAAATAAGTACACTAACTCCATCAATGCAAGAATAGATTAATTTAATATTAATATGAAAATAGGAATTATTATTTTTTAATTCTTTGAATATAAAATAATTATAAAAAGAAAACTCACTAAATGAAACAAATAAGGGAAAAATTTCTCCTTTTCTACATTAACAACAATATTCTTGAACCGATTCTATTTTTATTTCCATGCAACAAAAACCCCACGCGTCCCATCCCCGCGCGTGGGTATATTCCCTTTGATTGATGCTGTGAGCCTGTGACGATTCTTTTCTCCCCCAATACTCCACCGTTTCGTGCCTTGCTCTTCTCTCTCTCCCCTAAAGTTTCCGTCCTCGGGAGATCACTCTTCCCCGTATGACAACAATAACTAAAATACAAACCAATAAATAAATCCCGAAAACTATTTTCTTCAAGTGTTTAAATACAAAATAAATAAAAGAAAATAATAAATATTACGGGACGTCGCCGTACCGTAGCAAGAAATTAAAAAGAAAAAAAAGAAAGAAAAGAGAGTTCTTTGTTTGTTTGTTTGTCTCATATAACAGAGAAAGTTCTGATTGTGTTTCTCTTATTGTTAGCAAATCTCTCGATCTCTCCAGTCTCTTCAACAGAGAGACTCTCTCTCTCTTAATCTACACCTCTTCACAACAATTCACTTCACGTATTCCAAGGTTTGTTCTTTTTAACCACTCAATTGTTCTTTTCATTTCATCTCGTTTTGTTTTTTCTCTGTTCGTTTTGGTAATTTTTTTATTCCCATTTTTTTTTTGTTTTGCTGTTTCTTTGAAGTAACTTGTTTTTGTTTGTGGTTTTTGTAGTGTTGTGGAAATGTTATTCGGCGGCAATTGTGAAGTCAATTGGACAGCGAGTATTGCGATTCGGTACTGTGATTTTTGTGCTGTGATGTTAAAATTAGGGTTTCTGAATTTTGTTGTAGTGAATTCGCTTTAGGTGAATTCGCTTTAGGAAGTGTATTCTGTTTGTAATTTGTGTTTTGCTTTCTTTTCTGGCACTTGCAGGGTTTGAAAATGTTTTCCGGCAGCGAATTGTTGCCAATTTTGGCGAATTCATTTTCTGTCTGTTGTAAATAGACATGAGTTAGGGTTTAAGCTGCTATGCAAATGTCTTTTGAACGTGTTACCAGCTCCATTTGAGTCTATTCGATTAAGGCTGTTCTTTGTAGGAATCAAATGTATTAGTGAAGTGAAACAGAATGTTTACTTGTGATTCTTGTTGTTGTTTTTGATTTTTGTATTCTGATAAATTTGAGTACTAAACAAAGAGGCAAAGTAAACAGAAGAGAACTGTATTGGATGGGTAATAAGCTGGGAAGGAGGAGGCAAGTGGTGGATGAGAGGTACACAAGACCGCAGGGGTTATATGTTCACAAAGATGTGGATGTTAAGAAGCTTAAGAAGCTAATTCTTGACTCTAAGCTTGCTCCTTGCTATCCTGGGGATGATGATTGTTGCTGTGATCTCGAAGAGTGCCCTATATGCTTCTTGGTTAGTGCTTTTCTATCTCTGGCTTTCTTCTTTGTATCTTCTACTCTGGTTCCTTTATAAAATTCAGGATGAAAAGATGAACTAGGTCTATGGAAACATGAAATTGGTGACCTGGTTTAATGTTTTTCAAGAACAAAATTGACTTGATGCTGTTTCAATAATTCCCCAATATTTCATTTGTCTTGGGGGCCTAGTGGATTTAAAAGATGAAGAACACATTGTTTTATCTTTTGCTTGTCATCCTTTTTTCTATGACCTATCGGAGGAGATTGTGAAGGCCAAAAGATGTAGATTAGTTTGTTTGTGTTTAGGTTTAGTTGAATCTGTCTATTCAATTGGCTTTTTGTTGCTTGTGTTTGTAGTATTATCCAAGTCTCAACCGATCAAGATGTTGCATGAAAGGCATTTGTACAGGTAGATATTCTGTGATTTGATTTCTCTACCTTGCATCAAGTGTTAATTATAAATACAGTAATTAATGTTTGCATGTAATTTGATTTATCTTTCCTGGATCAGAGTGTTTTTTGCAGATGAAGAATCCCAATTCTAATCGCCCTACTCAGTATCCTTCAGTATTAATGCCATGTGTTCAAATTTAAAATTTAATATAAATATCTTAATTTTATATTGTTTCTATATCCATTATTTGATTCATACTTCCTGTGATTGTATTTCTTAACATTATAAGATGTCCTTTTTGCAAAACCTCAAATTATGCTGTGGAGTATCGAGGTGTGAAAACAAAGGAGGAAAAAGGCATTGAGCAAATTGTGAGATCTGGTCACCCATAGCTTTCATTGTTGTATTATTAAAATTGTAGAATGTTTGGATAGTAATTTTCTGATGGAATGCTAATTTGATTTACATTTTTCCAATTTCTGCAGGAAGAACAACGTGTTATAGAAGCAAAAATTAGGATGCGGCAGCAGGAACTTCACGATGAGGAAGAGAGAATGCAAAAAAGACAAGAATTAAGTTCTTCAAGCACAAGTGTAGCACCAGGAGAGGTTGAATACAGCTCAATGGCCGGTACCATCTCGTTTATTTCTGTTTCTAACTATATATAATTGTTCCTTTCGCTCTTACAATTGTACATTGTATAACTTTTTTCTTTACAGTTTCATCTTCTAGATCTGTGGAACGTGATGAAATTGTATCCTTCCAAGATTCATGTGCTGCTCCTATTATAAGACAGCCTTCACACCCGAGACAAAACAGGTATGTAGTGTTCTTGGCTGTTATCTTGCTATTCATGGTTGAAGTTGCTATATAGTTTTAGTTGTTTTCCTGGTGGTCATTGTTTAATAATAATTAATAAAACTAGTCTATAGGAATGACCAAAATTGCTAAAATGAAACCTATGGTCTCGGAAGTTTTCTGAAATCTGTTACTCTTTTCTTTGCTAAGATATGTGTTGCCGCCTTGTTGCAAATGTTCCATCTATGAGAATATGATATCTTTTGATTTACAAGTGTCACATTTGTGAAGAATCAGACATTTTAGATAGATTTGCTTTTGTTTAACTGAGAGATTGGATTTTTTTGTGGATTTTGAGCTTGCTAGCTGTGTTAGGTAATTGTTACTTTACTTCTCTTGATAGCCCTCCCTTGATGTGGACATATTTATATGTATAAGCTTCAGCAAAATGCTTGTTCTTGAAGAATTTAAAGTTAGTTGACAGAAATCATCTGCCATCATCATATTTATGTCGGTGAGCTTTGGATGACTTGATGATGGTCAAAGTTCATGGAGTTTTGAGATATAATTATATGTAGTGATTTCAATGAATAAACAATCTGACTATACTATTGAATTTTCGTTTGCCTTTTCCTGTTTCAAAAATAAGAAAAAAATGGCACTCTATTGGAATCCAAGATACTTTGGTGTTGAACTAAAGGCTATCTACCTCCTCACTAAGGTTTAGAGCACTGTGTTTGCTGTCAGGGTTAAGGGAAGATGTATTCAAATTTTAATCTTGTTAGTAAAAAGTAAAGGGATTGGGGTTTTTGCTTGTTGAATGAAGCAGATGCAGACTTTATTTTGAATAGTCTTATGAAGTTTATAGATGTTGAATTTTAGAGAGATTAATTCTATTGGTATCAAAGCTAGAATTATTTTAGAGAGATTAATTCTATTGGTATCTTTGCTAGAATTATATCCCAAGTAATTAACCTTCTGAGACTTCAGTTATGAGTGTCTTTTTTTTTTTGGGTCTTTTTTCAATTATCTGGTTATCTAATGCAACAGAAGATTTTGATGTTAATGACTTGTGACGTAACGAGGAAGCCTAGGCCCCTTTTCAGAACTTGAAATGAATTAGATACTGTGACATAAGTATAGAACTATGAACCAAATGATTTGCAACATTTGTATAGAAGTCTGAAGACTTACATGAAGAACGGAACAGCAAACTTTAGGGAAGTTAATGTCACAAGAGGCTGGTCTGCATGCTCTGAAGATTTACAAACTGTCATAATAAAGATTAAATCAATCTAATCATTGACTCTAAATATGTGCAAGAATAACAGGCCGTCTTTATAACCTCATTGAACCTTATTATGTGTGCATAAACCTTTTTAGAGTAATTTCAAACTATATGATGTCATATGTGGAACTTGAAATTTCATCTGGTAGCTCTGGTTATTTGAGGTCCATTTGATGTTTTAAATGGAATCTGAAGCTATGCTGTATTGATTATTTAAATTGCAGAGATGATGAGTTTGACCTGGATTTGGAAGATATAATGGTCATGGAAGCAATCTGGCTTTCCATTCAGGTAAACAGTGCTCTATTTAAAATTAGTTTAATTTTGAGTAGTCCAACTACAGGGAATGGCTTTTTGTAGTTTCTCATTTAGAAAGAGATTTTCTGGACTATATAGTTTGCCTTACTATGAAAGCTGCTAGGTAATATGGCAATCACTTTTCTTGATGTTGGATACTGCAGTCAAGATTAGAAAGTGATTCACTAATTGTTATGAATGGGTTGTGCATAAACCAGACTCAAATGTGTGGATAAACAATTTCTTTGATTACTTTTGGCAGTTGAACTGAAAAATTCCAAGATCAATTAGTGTCTGCTTGATCTCGGCCGGCTAAGCTTCTTTGTGTTTTGGCATTATTTATGACCAAAGTTCAGTTGTTAGGTTATGTTTTCTGAGGTTTCTCCTTTTCGTGCCTTTAATTGCAAAGTTTGAGTGTTATGTATTATTGCCTTCAAATTGGGTGAAATTTTGCAGAATTTTGCTTATTATGAATTTCTGCATTGTTAAATGCAATGTTCATGTTATAGAAACGATTTTTGGTAAAAACTCATATTAAGCCTCGGCACTAAAAAAACAACAGGAAATTGGCCACTTACTATTGTAATTATTGTTTTTTACATGTCTGTGTCTCAAATTAGACTTGAAATTCTGACGGCTGTTTAATTGGTCCTGACTCTTTGAAATTGCATTAAAATAATAAAAATTGACTTATACAGGAGAATGGCAGACAAAGACACCCTGCTTATGATGCTGCTCCATCTGACCAATATGTTACAGAAGATCGCTATGTCTCATCAACTGTGGCTCCAATGGCTGGTACATCATCATCCCCTTCTGGTGGTCTTGCTTGTGCAATAGCTGCCCTTGCTGAGCGTCAGCAAACAAGTGGAGAATCATCTATAAACCATAATGCAAATCTTTCAGGATTCGATATGCTTCCAGGTAGTAGCAGGTTCTACAATAGGGTGGCCCGAGATGCGGAGAACTATCCTCCTGCAGAGAGCTCCATCAACTCATCGCCTGATGGCAGAGTGGAAGCGGCTAGAGATGAAGGCGAATGGGGAGTAGATCGTGGATCAGAAGTGGCCGAAGCAGGTACCAGCTATGCAAGCTCTGATGTCGTAGAAGACGGAGTTGGAATTTCAGGAATGCCCACATCTGATGAGATTGGAGGCAACTTTCAAAATGTCCCAGGACCTGTTGTTCCCGAGAGTTTTGAGGAGCAGATGATGCTGGCCATGGCTGTTTCTCTAGCTGAGGCTGGATCTGTAACAAGTGGACCAGGAGTTTCATGGCAATAGTTGTCAGTGGTGGGTTTTCTCGAACGGATGATGCTGGCAGAGTCTGGAGCTAGGACCAGTGCACATTGCATTGCATTGCTTGCAGCTAGTTCAAAGTTTAAGGTAGTTATGATTCCCTCTCCTCACACTCTATTTCTTCATATATAAATGTTAAAAAAAGGAAAGACGGCAGATTATTTGAATGAATGAAAGGTTGGTTGGTTGGCTATGGTATTCTTTGAGTTAGAATGATTTGTTTGATTTCCATTTGATAAAAAATCCCATGGAAAAGATGCCTGTCAGTTGTGATAAAGGGCATAAATTTGTCATTATAAACTGAAACCATTATGAAACGCAGTCTGTTTCCTACTGTGAATAGCAATTTTGAGTCATCTTATTCCTTTTGCGTCAGCACATTTCAGGATAGTAGTAGTATTTTCTTTTAACTGATGTACCCGAGACTCATCATATATTGAAAGGGAAATATTGCATAGAACTGGGGTGGTGACATAAGGCTTGAATTGCAGATTCACCATTATATAGTTCATTCTTGAAATAATATGCCTATTATATTGTGTTTTAGATTATTAATGGTTCTTAGAAGAATGATGTCGAACTTTTACTTCTATTACCCTGGTTAGACCTTCTGTAGCTACAGATTAGTCCCTGATAATTGCTGGTGTACTGTACTATACTTGAATGGGCAGAATCTATTGAACGAATAGTTGGTGACTGAGTCAATATTGATAGGAGGGAAAAGGTGTCAAACGGCCAAATTTAACCGTTTCATCTGTTAATTGGTCAATGAAATACTGGGGGCGATTCAAGAGTCATTTATTGATTTGACAACTTTATGAAGCGTAGTACACCATGGTATGAATTTTCCTTTGATAGGAGAGTAAACGACATTTTCCCACCCAAGGTTTGGCTAATCTGCAAGATCCCACACATGGTTTCATAAATTGTAGATTCTCACATTTAAATTAACATCATTACTTATCTCTCAAGATAACCTTCACATCTCAAATTTCTCTCAAATAATCCTCAAAGGAGATCCTGGTTAAGCTAAAAATCTGGCCTGATTTTGACACCATTGGACTTCCCTAACACTACCATCAGCATTCGCTTATCCTCTTTACCAGAACCTCTAACTTTTCTATCCGATTGTACCTCGGCGAGGTGTCGGAATTTGGCTAGAAAGGGGTGACAAAATGCGAAAACCTAAGGGAGAGGTGACGACGATTGGCGGGCGATATCTGTTGGTGATGTTGGGGGAAAGCCGACGATGCTATTGGTGGTCTTGGGGGTGGTCTTCAATGTCGGGACCTACCAGAATTTGGATGAAATGCTGATTGACACTAAAAGCGACGACTGACGATTCGGGGGGTTCAATTAGGTGGGGAGGTTAGGGGTTTTGATATGATGGTTGAGGGGATTGTAATGATGGTGTCGGGAGAGGTCAATTGTGCCGAAAACAGGTCAGAATGATCTGAAATCGCTGGTGGAGTGAATTTGAGAAGTGAAGGGTTAGCTTGACATTTTTCGATGGGGTGAATTTGAGAAATGAACGGTTATTTTAAAATTTTCATCTTTGAAATGACTATTTTACTCTTTTAATTGTTAGATTAAACAATTTTCTGTTAATTCAAGAGCGGGAATCTGCAATTAATGAAACCAGGGGTGAGAACATGTAGATTTGGCAAACCCTGGTAGGAAAATGTAATTTACTCTTGATAGGATAGGAACCTCTGTTTTAAAAACCGGACCGGACCGGCCGGTCCAACCGGTTGGACCGGGACCCGGGGCCTTCTCCGGGTCGGTTCACTCTTTTTAACTATTTAAAGTTTAAAATATAACAAACACACCCCTGATTATTACCATCAGCTCCTGAAGGTTTCAAATCTAGCAAACATAACCTCTGGCCAAATGCAAATCGGCAATGACCTCCCCTTTTCCGGCGACCTTCCACCTTCACTTACTGTCGGAAACCACCTCTGAGTTCTGACTTTCTCCGGCGCTGTCACGCTTCATCTCCAACCGCCGCGTGACATTTCGTCATCCACCTTCGCCGAGAGATTTTTCTTTCATTTCCCGGCGTCGATCGGCCTTCTCCGGCATCGACAGGCTTCCTCAGCCACCGATCTACCTTCTCCCAAGCTCCCTTGCCGTCGTTCACGAAGATCCAGTCATCTCACCAAAACAAGCAACCGCGACCAGTGACTTTACCACCGATCTGCCATTTTCCGGCGATGCCTCTACTTGCTAGCTGCCGATTCGCCCTCCCCATCATCCGATCTACCCTCCCTGGTGTGTCGCTACTGCTCTCCCAATCGATCGTCGATTTGCATTTGGCCAGGGTTCTGTTTGCTAGATTTCAAACCTTTAGGGTCTGATGGTAATTATTAGGGGTGTTTTTGTTAGATTTTAAACTTGTCAAACCATCGGTTCAACCGGCGGTTCAACCGGCGGTCCAACCGGTTGGACCGGTTGAACCGTGACCCGGCCATCAGAGCGGTTTGTCCTCCGGTCCGGTTTTTAAAACAATGATAGGAACACGAGGTACAATTAGATAATAAATAATTACTTAAAAACCATTTTTTTAATGATTAAATTGAAATATGATCTTTTCATGATTTGTTTAGTGATAAAATCTTCCATTTAATATCTTTTCACTCTAACAATTAGAAAAAGTTACGTTGATGCTCGAGCCATGAAATTTTTATTTTTTATTTTTAGACAATTAAAAAAACTCTTATATAAATTTACTATTCTTTTTCTAAAAGCAATGTATTTTAGAAAAAAAGAAAAGAAAAAAATTCTAGGGTTAAAGTCCACGAGTCAATTTAACGCTAGAGTGAAGGTATAAAAGTTGTGAATAGATAAAAATGAAACAAAAGAGGATGACAGATCTTATCTGCTCAACCAATTTAAAAAGGTCAAATTGACAAATTATGAAGGTCTTTTAAGTAGGGTTGTCGTAAAATAAGGCACAGTCCACAATTATGAATAGAATATGTCCCATGTATTAAGATAGGGATAAAAGTGGAGGGGCATATCAGTTGCTTGATAACGTTGCTGGTTATATGAATCCTTTGAACATGATAATTAAGCAAAATTAGGAGACGCCATGGTTATTGATTAATTTAACCTCAGGGAATTTCATGGAGATTTTTTTTTTTTTAAATTATAAAATAAGAAGATAATGTAAATGTTGAATGTAGGAGGTATTAATATCCATGGAGAGACGCAGACAGAGTAGCATCAAGATATTTGTATTTATGAATAACCCAATGATGTCCATTGGATGTTGGTCCCAAATAGGATAGAGGATATAGCAATGAGAGTGGTTGAAGAAATATCAGAAACATTTAAAAGTATCACATGCTTTGTCTGATAATAATGTTAAAGCAAAATCTTTTGGCTTCACATGCTTTGTCAATTCTCATCCTCATCAATTACCTGTGCCTTCCTTACCCTTTTTCTTTTTTTAATTTTTAGAGTAAACGACATATTGCCACCCAAGGTTTGACGAAATCTCAAGTGAGTACCACAGGTTCAATTTATTCCAGATTCCCACCCTTAAAGTGACGGAAAAACGTTTGATATAACGGTAAAGGGGTAAATTGGTCATTTTACATGGGCGGCGCACGTTAGCAGACCATCGCCTGTAACAGTCCTCCGGCGCACGTTAGCAGACCACCGCCGGTAAACTTTTTCGCTCTTTTTCCGGCGATTTTTTCACCCAAAATCACCCTTGTCACCACCATTTGACTCCTCCAATCCTCGCCTACAAAACCCCTAACGTTTCCAGCCATGGCAGCTCACCGTTTGCCGTCCACCGCTTCATCGAAAAACGGCCGAAGAACACGAACTCTCGGCCGGCGAATGACGACGAGACGGCAGCTGGGGACATGGGGATTTTATAGATCTGGATACGGTGGTTTCATTGGTGGTGTCCAATTGGATTTTCACCGCCGGAATCGACCGGAATCCGGTGAAGAACATCAAAACCCTAAGTCTAACGGTGCCGGCGATTGGAGGGGCAAATGAGTCGGGAATGAGAGGGGTTTTGGACGATGGAATACGGGGAAGGTGATGGAGTGACCAGGACGTTCGACGTCGTCGGAAACAGCCCAGATCGGGCTGTTTCCGATGAGGGTGTGTAATGATCGGGGGTGTTTTTGATATAATTTGAAAATAAAATGGTAAGTTTTATAATTCTAATAAATTAGGGGTTAAAACATAATTTATTAATTTAGGGTTAGGGGCATTATGGTAATTGCACGCTCTAAACCCTAAAAGTTCATAACACTGTTACTTTAAGGGTGAGAATCTGGAATAAATGGAACCTGTGGTACTCACCTGGGATTTCGTCAAATCTTGGGTGGGAATATGTCGTTTACTCTAAAATTCATGATGTGTTTAGCAATCTGTATCATGTACTAAAACACAAAAAATTAAGAGCGGTGGTGAGGAGTACTCTCGCTCCCCATCAAGGGCACTCTCAAAACTTATATTCAATACATATTACTAGCATGGAGAAAGTAAGAAATGTGGTTTATCATGAGCAAGATGAAAAGAAACATGCACATTACTCTTGGTTTATAATTTTTGAAGGGTTTTTGGAAATTGTATAATAAAATAGAAAAGGAAATTTCTTTTTTTCTGAAGTAGTTAATGCATAGAGAATATAAAGATACATAAATTATGAAAGTTTAGAAAGATAAAGCTGACATCATTTTAGATTATTGGTGTTGAAGTTCAGTTTTCTTTCCTTAATATGTTGGAAACTAGAAACTAGAATGGTTTTTATTTTTTTTCCTCAGAAGTGAAAAAGAAAAAAAAACTTCTTCTACTAGTAGTCTAGAATAAATTGTTTAATATAAATAGTATCCAATTTTTTTAATTATTAATTAATTAATAATTTATCTAATATAAATTTTTTTATTACATTTTTAAATATTTATTAAATTCTTATCAAAATAAAAATTTAGAATTTTAAAACTATTTTAAAAAATAAAATCTCTTTTTTGGTAACTATAGTACATCTAACAATAATTTTAAAATTTAATACATCAAACACATAATTATAATTATAGATTTTGAGAATTACATCTATCATGAAAATAGTATTTACCAGACACTTTTAAATTATTTTGAAAGCTTGATTATTTTCACAATTGATTTAAAGCCACAATAATCTCAAATAAATATTTAATATCAGCAGTTTCTTACAAAGTTAAACGATACCGTAAATAAAAATTTCATATTAATATAAAGGAAACATACAGAAAACTTCCAATTCCAGTACTTTCGACTTCCGGTGCTACAATGCATGCAGCCATAAAGGTAGCACACAACACACCAAGTGGAGGATTGACAGCTAAAACATACCAATATT